GTTCAAATAAAAATAGCTATTATACTAACTGATGATATTGTATTAAATTGTGTTTTATGTTTCGGTGGGCGGGAAAGGTGGTTTGTGTGGGGTGATTTAGGTGTTGTTGTGCGTGGCTCATAATAAAATTATAATTTTTTTATTGTATATACAATGTTATAGTCTTTAATAAAATAATTAACTAAATAATTTTTAAAAATTGTCCAAATATTTTATTCAACACCAAATGCATGTTCCGTCATACTTAATACTAAAATATGAAAAAGATGAAATTAAAGGACACAGGTTTAAATGAACATATTTTTGAATGTAATTGAGATATTGGCTTGAAATTTTTTGTAAAGGGTCGAGAATTTCCATATCTAACTAAAAAATGATATTAAGGGATAAATATGGACTAAATTGTTGTAGCTATCTGCGACCCTATTAAAATTTTGATATAAATCATAGTTTTAGAAATTAAACAAATATGTAATATATGACAAAATCTTTATTTATGAACAAAACTCAATGAAATTTTCAACGCTTGTTAAATTTGTCATTTCAAATAAGAAAATGCAAAAAAAAATTGAAAAGGTCAAAGGGCATCCCGCAATTCCCAAAAATAGGAATGAAAATCCCAAAAATGGGATTTTTTACTTTTTTGCCCATAGGGTCCACATTTCTTTCAGGGCTGGGAAAATACTTTTGGAGTAAATAGAAAACATATTGAGGTTTCCAAAACTGCTTTCAGTTTGCTGATCCCAGCTTTGGGATTTTAGAACATATCGCCCAAAATTGAAGTTTTGATAAAAAATAGGTCATATTCGGAAGGACAGTGGCAACATTTTCAAAAAATAGGACAAGTTTTTTACGCCAAAGCGTTCTGCGTAAAGATACCTTTTAGAAAACTATAAAATTGTTATATGTTCTTAAAGAAAATTTTATTTTATTAATAAAAGAGTTAAGACACATTTTTGGCAAAAAACGGCAAAAATCTAAAATTTTTTGAATTTTTAAATTAAAAAACGTATATTTTTGGATCTGTAAATGATATTCATCTGAAATTTTTTGTATATTATTGGAAATTTTGTTGTCTAACTAACAAGAAAAAATTGAGTCCATTTGGTCCAAAATTACGCCCGGTATTAAAAAAAAAAGGCGGACCAAGGTATGGTAAATTTTGTATCACTAAATTTTTAAATGCCTATAACTCGGATATTATTAGAGATAAGTAGTATGTCCAAGCATGTTTTTTCAAGATCTCGTCGAGCGCTTTCACAAAATATAAAATATTTGGGTGAAAAACAAAAAAATGGCACGAGTTTAAAAATTTTACATGTCGTAGGTACCCTACTTTGAGCCGCCACAGCGCCGTCCCTGGGGCATCTGCAGGGTTAATCTTCAAAACTTAAACTCGAATACTCCTTGGCTATGCTCACGCCAAATTTTATCCCGATCGGATCAGCCGTTTAGAAATGCCATCTTTGTTGCGTCGAATGGTTTTGCGTTTGTCAGGTTAACTAGCTCCCTTCCTTTTACGATATAGGAAAAATTTATTTCGCGGTATACCAATGCGTGGCATTTTGTCACATTCACTCTGGGTTACCACGATTATTAGCCTAAGGACCTAAGGACCCTAACTGATAAAGGACTTAGACCGGTCTGCTATGCATACGATGTTGTAACACTTTTAGACCGGGTTTTCGAGTTGGCAATCAAATGCCAATTAATAATCAGATTAGTTAATTTAAAAATAAATTTAATCCGATGTTAATCCCATTTGATGTTTTTGAGTACAAGATTAAACTTCGTAGTGTTGCCATACAAAACAACAGAAAACGTCATTGTTTGTTATCATATTTTTTTAAGAAAGAAGAAACAATTTAAATTTAATATGAAAATTAATGAAAACTTAAATTTAAAACCAAAAAATGTATTTTGAAGTGTCCGTAATTCATACTATCAATAAATAGAACATTTTAATGATTATATTTATAAAAATTGTATTAATTTAGCTGTTTACACTTTTCCATTTCATGCTTAAGATTAAACCACCTCCATTGCAAACAAAATTAACTAATTGAGTACTCAAAAACAACTTTCGAGGTTTAATTTTATTTTAATCGCTAATCTTTCACCTAAAGATTGGCTCTTAAAGGGAAAGGATCCAAATTACTTGTGTAGAAGAGCTAAGGAGGCTCTGAATACGGCCTTGAGATGGGCTCAGCCCATCTCCTGGCGAAGACGGAAATCTGTCTTTTCATAAGAAAGACAAAAATTTCTACGTATACTGAACCCTGCTTCCTGGGCAAGAAGATACCGGCGACAGACAAAGTTAAGTATTTAGCTGTAATCCTTGACCGGAAATTATAATGGAGACACCACATTGAGGATAGGATTAACAAGACACATCGGTGCTGGGCGATATGTAGGAGAAATATAAGCATAAAATGAAGTCTTAGTCCTACTATGACAAAGTATGATGGTACGTATTCTGAGTGGACACACAATATTAAGAGCACATGCAAAATGGGACGTGCGGATTCAGACGAGTGTAGAGCATGTGAAACTCTGGAGCACTTTCTTTGCACTGCCAGACATTCGTCGAAGTTCGATCCAAGTATCTTGGAAGTGATGTTATTCCGTAGATAACATTCCTGACTAACACTAATTGGAATATTCTTAGGAATTTTGTTCAGGAAACTGAGTTTCTAAACACTGAAAAATAATATACTCAGTGAAAAATTTTTTTCATGAAAAGGGGCGCACTACAGGCCCGATAGTGGCTTAGGTATATTTCTTCGGATTTGATGTTAAAGGCCCCAATTTTCAAGATATTTTGATAAAATTTGAACCATACGAGTTTTCGTCACAAGGACGACGGCTATTGAAAATTGTTGAAATCGGTCCATTATTTCAACTAGCCTCCACCCCTTCCTATTTAGGGCTTTTAACTCATAGCTACGTCAAACATATTACTATCTCACCAAAAATTTTATATAGGCATAAATGACCATGCGAATTTTTATAACGATCGGCCGTCGTTTGACCCTGACCTCCATACAAACCCCCCTTTAAAAAATATCTTAAACATCCAAAAATTTACTTATAAACATTAGTATCGTGATGAAATTGCTTTTAGAAATTTAGTTTTTCACCAATAAATTGCATTAATACATCGGAATTAAGGTAAAATTCAACATAAAAGTTTCTTTATGAAAAATAAATAATTTTTAAAATATACCCATATACTTATTTAAATCATACTGAAATAACTGCTAAAATATCTTTTTTGTACAACTACCGATAACGCTAAAATATCAATACTAAAATAAGCCAAAATACCGATAACGCTAAAATACCAATACCGAAATAAGTCAAAACTTGTCATATTTGTTAGTTATTTAAATCATACTGAAATTACTGCTAAAATACCTTTTTTGTAAAAAGTGAAATAAGCCAAAATACCGATAAAACTAAAATACCAATACCGAAATAAGTCAAAATACCGATACCGCTACCTTATCACCGTTTCGAAACGGTTGTTGTTGTCGTAACAGGTTAGCTGTAACTGGATGTTCTTCCCTGGGGAAAAAACTTCCGGTTGATACAGCTGTTGCTGAGTTGAGAATCGGATCGTTCCGGAGCGGTGATCCAAATGTCGTGGGAACGAAACGGTTGTCAACCTTGCCAAAAAGTATTAATGAAATTATTATAAGGATTTTTAAATGTCCAAGGTCTTGTGACTCTTGTTTATAAAGGATGGCTCTGTAAGAGCCAATCTTTAGGTTAAAGATTAGCGATTAAATTAAAATTAAACCTCGAAAGTTGTTTTTGAGTACTCAATTAGTTAATTTTGTTTGCAAGTTTAAGCGCCCAATGGAGGTGGTTTAATCTTAAGCATGAAATGGAAAAATGTAAACAGCTAATACAAAAAAAATTAATACAATTTTTATAAATATAAACATTAAAATGTTCTATTTATTGGTTAATATAAATTACGGACACTTCAAAATACATTTTTTGTTTTAAATTTGAATTTTCATTAATTTTCATATTAAATTTAAATTGTCTTCTTCTTTCTTAAAAAAACATGCATTGTTTTGATAACAAATAGTGACGTTTCCTATTGTTTTGTAGTTTAATCTTGTACTCAAAAACATCAAATGGGATTAACATCGGATTAAATTTATTTTTAAATTAACTAATCTGATTATTAATTGGCATTTGATTGCCAACTCAAAAACCCGGTCTAAGTTATCAACTGAGAGTACTGGTTTGAAAATAACGAAAAACTCTGGAAAATTTCAAAGCATTTTTTAGTTTTTAAAATTTTAAATGTTCATAAAGTTAAGAGATAATAAGGTAGTGGTCTGCAACACAAAGTATACAGAGTTGTCACCTTTAACGTTTAAAAAAGTCTAAAATCAGATGTTGTCTAGCTTTTGTGAAACTTGTGCATGAAGATATATAAACTACAGCTAAAAAAAATAGTGTCAAACTTGCGATGAAAGAGATAGAAATAGTTTTTTGATCGTGACGACTCTGTATACCCTGTGGTCTGCAATGTTATCCGAAATATATCAAAACGTTTACTTTTTTAAAATATTAACAAAATTCGAGGCATTTTAATTCAGTTTCATCGATTCTCAAACATTTTTTGATTTTATTCATATAAGTCTGTCATTCCGTTTGTAATTTCCACAATATCATTTTCTGACTCTATAAAGTATATACATATGTATATTCTGAATCCTTATAGATAGCGGAGTCGATTAAGGCATGTCCGTCTTATTTTAAACACACTATAGTGCATAAGATTCGGCAAAGGCGAATATTGTTTTTTTTTTTTTTTTTTTTTTTGGTCAGAAGGAAGCTTATACAATTTCATTTAAGGGCTTCATAGTCGCTAAATGGGATGCGAGTGGGATATCTATCAAAATCTATCATCAATTTCCACACCAGAAGTAGATTTTGTTCTATTATTATTCTACTACTGTATATTTAAATAAATTATTTGTTTGTTGTATATTTTAATGGAGTATTTATTTTATGAAAGTTTTCTATTTGTTTTTACCAATATTTTTACGTAAAATACATGTATGCTTGCATATAACATTGATACCATATCATGAGAAATAAATAGTTAATAGAATAAATTGTTGCGGAAATCAACATGTAGTCTCCAAAAGACAATCTGATGATTGTTGAGTTTTATTAATGACGATCGGTTGGTTAATTTGTGTTTTTGTATGTTTGCTTTTCTCCATCCACAAACATGCTTTTTCTTTATTAACAGCTGCTTTTTTGGCTTCACTGCATCTAAATTGCTCCAAATACTCCGAGAAGTCAGCCCTATTTATTGCAATGTTTGGCTGGTTTGTGTGATTTGCAAAACATAATGCTTTATTTTCATCTTTTCGATTTTCTCTAACATTGCGATCACTTGAAAATGTTTTAATGGAATTGGTAAGAATTGTATCTGCACGACGCATTTGATCAGAGAGACGTCGTATATTAAGTTGCAATTCTTCTCCCTGTTGCTTCTCAGAAACGGAGGAGAAACTGTGTCTAGCATTTAAAAGTAGTGGATTAAACACATTCAAAAATTCGTAATTCGTAGACCGAATATTTAATTTTGATTTACTTCTGTTTTGCTCATCAATAATTTCGGCAGCAACTGATATTGAGGGCGGAGGTGAGTTAGATTGATGTAAAGTATAATCCATGAAAGGATTATGGTTGTCCTTTATTCTTGCAGGTGAAAAACTAGACGATCGTGTAGGAGTTTTTTCGTTAAAACTAGAGTTAGTTGGATATGTAGTCGATGTGAACATATTTAATGGCGCTGTTAAGAATTGAGGAGAAGACGGAGCTGATCGCAACTGTTTTTTGACGTCAATTGCAGAAGTTGCATTTTTTTCATAATTTAAGTGACAAGGAGATTTTTTAGTACTATTCAACAAATATGGATCTACATCAAATTTAGAGACCGAAAATGACTTGCTTTGACGAAATAACTCATATCTAGAAGATTTAGGCGGTGATTCTATATCTGCCCTTTTAACCCAAGGATCATCATTGTTTTTTATGACTGTGCTAGCGGGATGAAATCGTTTTTCCTTATTTGCAGACAAAATAGAAGATGACATATTGTCGGCACTAGTTATTTTTAACCAAGGGTCAGAAAATACGTTACCCAAGCAACCAGTACTACGATTTGTTGATTCATTGTATGAAAATTGTATCTCTGTACCATCCATTACATTGGGAGATGACTGTTCAGATCGACACACTTTGCTGATTTGTTGTTTATTTATGCGAGCGTTAGTTGAGAATAATCGAGGAAATTGAACATCAACGTTTTTAGATTCTGATACTAGTATGGCATGTTGATGCCGTATGGGTGGTCTTGGTGACAGTGAACGTGTGGTTCGAAGAAGTTTTATAGCTTTCGATTCACCAATAGAGTTGAGTTTATGTAAAACTTTTTTATGATTTCGCTCACCATCTATTTTTGTAGCATTTTGGATTTTTGATTTATTTTTTTTACAATCTGTCAACTTAAAACACAGTTCATTTGTTAAAGAGGGGGAGGGTGTTACCGTAGTCATACTACCCAGTTTCCGTATGTCCAAATGTGGACTTGTGGCTGCATTGCGTGTAGGAACTAAACGTTTTGCTACACCCGAATCTACTGATATTTTTTTATTAGAAGACTCTAAAGATTCCTCTCCTCTTTTTTCACAATAACATATTAGTTTTGATGATATTTCAGTACCAAGCTTGGAATTATCGTTTGCGGCATTAAAATTTGTATTATTAATATATCTGGCAGACAATTTTGTCTTTTTTAAATGATAATTGGTAGTCTCGTCAGTTAGCAGTGGTGAGTGTGGAGAATGTATGGGTAACGTTGGTGCTATGGAATGCTGTTGAATATGATCGTCAAATCCTAATGAACAACTTGCGTCTGTGTTTACAGATCTAATTGAAGATGATTGATTTGAAGTTAGTTCTTTCTTATCTGTTGTTGATTTTTTATTTTCAATGGAAGATGGGTTTCTCTTTATATACTGGTATAAATTATTTTTTTGTGAAGATGATACAATGTTTACATTCAATTGGACTTCATAAATGTTTTTGTCAATTTCACTCATTTCTTTTTTATTGATTTTGGCGAGTGAGCCGGGTAGTTTTTGCTAGAGAAATTTTTCAGCCAAAGCCTTAGTGGAAACTGAACTTGTTGACGATATAGCTGAAAGTAAACAACATATATTATTATTGTTATTTGTTGCTAAAGTTATTCGCTTGTATTTATAAAAAAAATCTTATTTTGCTTTTAAAATGAAAGGGTTAGTTAATGCACACAATAGTTAAAGCAGACTTTAGCCTTAAAACCATGAATAAAATTTGTATATTCATAAAAAAAATAAAAAACCGTTATTAACTATTAAGCGACACGGCCAAGTTTTTTCACTAACACAATAAAAAAACTTACCGTTTGAGTCAAACAATTTGATGTGTCGCCAAGGCGCTTTATGCTGTTTTATTGACGACAAAGTATACAGAGGTGTCATTTTGACATTTACAAAAGTCTAAAATCAGCTTTTTAGCGGCTTTTGTAAACATTTGTGGGAAGAGGTATATAAAATACAGCTAATAAAAATTTAGAGACATACAAATAGTTATTTTGCTCGTGACGCCTCTGTATACCCTGCAGTGTTGAAAAAGTATATATATACTTTTGTAACTACCCACCATTGGGGACTCGAAACGCGAGTGTAGTATGGTGAACTTGGTTGTAGTATGGTGAACCAATGTACAAAATGTCCACAATAACATAAAAGTACATTGAGTCCCTGATGTCTAATCTAAGAGTTTAAAGGTCATCAGTACATGTCAATGTTTAGTTTTTACGAATATCTCCCATATTAATGATATAAAATATTATTTTATTAATGGTAAAAAGAGTTTTTTGATTACACTTATTTATTGAATAAATAAACTTTTTTTCGCTCGGTATATATTTTGGTAGTGACGAGTTTACTTGATTTTGATGATTATACGAAATTTTTGATATGAAAGTCTTTTTGACGATTTTGTATTAGTTTTTACTAAAAACTAATACAAAATCGTCAAAAACTAAAAATTTTTTAGTTAAAATAAATCGAGACATTTCAAAAATTCTTGATTTTTTTAGATTTTTATGAAAATTTGATTGCTTATAGTATACTCATCAATAAACGATTAAAATCGGATAAATAGTTTAGAAAATATAAGATGTCAAATTTAATGCTTATTGAAAAAATCTTAAAAATTTTGAACTTTGAACATTAATAAAATCTAAACCGTGAAGAATTTGGTAATTTTGGAGAACGTTAAACTTCGTATTTATAGAAAGAATGGGTGTACCAAGTTTCATCAAAATCAGAAAGGGTAAGGTGCAAAACCTGTTCGAAAATTTTTGAAATGCCCCAAAGATATATAATAACGTCATTAATTTAGAAAATATACCATGTCAAAATAAAAGCTTGTTGAAAAAAATCTTAAAAAATATGAATTTTAACATCGATAAAATCTAAGCCGTAAAGTATGTATTTTAAAATTTTGGAGAACTTTAAATTTCGTATTTGTACGAAGAATGATTGTACCGAATTTTACTGAAATCGGAGAGGGTCATGTTGAAAATCTCAGTTTTTCGATTTTTTTCTAAATTACCCAACAGACAATATAAATTTATTTGTTATAGATAGCAGTTTTTCAAAATTTATTTCAAATGGTCTTTAGCGACTGGACTTTTTACAATCTTTGCGAAATTTAGTGAATGACCGTTTAAGTCCACATGCATGCAGACCCCTATGTAAGTACGTCTGTTAAATTTTTACGGATATCATGCGGATAAAGACCATAATTTCTTCAAAATTTTAACTTATAAAAGGTAAATGTATTTACAAAATTTTTTATTTAATTTTATTTTTTATAAATAAAACAATATACAAATTAATTTTGTAGTATTTTTTACTTGGAACCAAGTAGGAGGATTGCAAAGGAGTAAAATTACCAATTATGAGGACTTTTTGTTAACATTAGAACTAGTAATTAAGTGGTTCTAAAGCACCCAATTGGGTCTGATTGTACTAGTATAAGTCTAGAATTAGTAATTTTTGAAACACACTCAATGTTAATTTGAGCATTAAGATGGTATAGGAAAGTTTACAGTTGGGAACTAGTACTGCTGATTTTTGTATTAGTAATATACTAGTTTGCTACTAGTTCCATTTCCTGCAGGGATATTATTCATTTGAATTTCAGAAAAGGACTGTGGAATGTTTCATTTATTTCGAAACAAAACAGTTTGAAATTAGGACAATTTTAAATGAAAAAGCAGGAAATAATAATGGAATTTCGAATGTAAAGCAAAAATTTTGTTAAATACGGTATCTTCGAATTTTAGTAAGGAAAATCGACACCTCTTATTTTCTCCAGACAAACAGGACCACTCCAATAGCGACTACTATAAAGGATTTCGACAGTATTCTTTATGAACTTTGAGGATTTTTAATAAAAATACAATACATAAACAATTTATCTAAGTAAAAACTTTTTTAAGGAAATTAAAATTTTTGCAGCAAAGTTTCAATAATTGTTATTATTTTTTTTTTTTTTAATTTTATAAAATCTATTGAAACAAACAAAATTATTTTTTTTCTTTCTGTGGAAAACTCGTTATGGTTTTGTCCGATTCTCCCTTAATTTCAACGAAAGTTTTCTATTTAGAATTCTACAAAAGTTCAAAATATAATGGCAGATATAAGTCTACAGTTTTGCATATGTTTCCGACAAATTATTAAATCTTGCTGCAGTTTTCAATACTTTTTATTTTGATTTTTCAAAAGCATTAACTTTTTGAATAAGTAAACTTTTCGATATTTCCTTTTCCGTTTTCCTATTTTCGTTTTTCAATTTCCTTTTTCTTTTTTTCTTTATTTTCTTTTTTTCTTTTCCTACTTTTTAAATTTTGTATTAAAAATGTTCGTTTGAATTAGATTTTTGATAATAAAAACGAACTTTTAAGAAAAATAAATATGTATATCCTTTATATGCTATAATAAATGTTTATTTAGTTCTGATGTATAAATAGAACACATAATTTTTAATTATTATTAAAAGTATATGAATAACGGATATTTTGCGACAAAATAAACATCACTATTGCACATTTTCTTATTTTTACCAGGGATCGAAAATAATAATTATCTTTGAATTTTTAAAGAAAAAAATCAAATACAATAAAATATTGGAGAACAAATTCAAACATACCATTTTTATTAAAAATAACCGTCAAAATGTATTTAATTTCACTTAAAATTTCACATTTTTAGAAAATATTTGCACATTTTGATAATATCATTCCTTCTCCCGGACATAATCTTCACTAGAACCCACTAGAAATTTCATGACATAAATTTTAGCTTTAAGGTCATAAATTGGCAAAATTCTTGGGGATTTATACTTTTATTTATTGCTTCATAAATGTTTAAGTGATTTTGTTGCCAGATGCATTTTGGTAATTGCTATTTTTAATGAATAATACTACTTTTAATAATGTTAGAATGTTATGCCAATTTTATACATATTTGTTGAAAGATTCTAACGAGTAAACCGTTAACAGGACTTAAATATTGTTTGCCACCAAATTAAGCTTTTAAAACAGTGTTGCCCATACAAATACTGTTACACATTAATTTGTATTGGTAAAGCAGCAGAGAACAAAATGTAACCCAAAATAAAACTGTACTAATAAAATGACTGCAAACTAAATAGTATATTCTAACTGTCAAATTGATATTGTGGATTTTGACAGACAGCGTACATTAAAGTTCATATATAAAAAACTATCAGCTGTGCTCTCTCATTCACCTACATAAATTCGGCTTTCTCACAATTTTGTTGTTGTATTTCTTTGTGGATTTTAAAAAAGTTGCGTACAGATCTTACTTCGACAAATGCTGATCAGCAACTGAGTTGATTTTGTTTTGCAAGTTGATAGATAATCAACTAACACATGCTCAAATAAGAAAATACACAAGTAAGCTTATAGTGTAGGTGAGTCAACGCAACGTCAGCAGAAATTTCTTGCCCTATCTCGCGTGATATGGAATCGCGATTTTGGGCAACAATGTTTTAAAATATTTTTAAAAGAAACATATGAAAATACTTGTATGTTGGTACATAAGCAACTAAAACTTTTATTTGGGCTTCCTTCCTTTGGCGTTTTCTATATATAACGTGCCCACTGATAATTGGGACCCAATTATCATTTTCATATGTATTCAGCGTCTTCCTAGTTCTACAGTTATTTTATGGGAACGGGGTTTAAAGGACAAATCTGTGTTGTCTTATTGGCATGATTTTGATATCTTTCTGACGAGAAGAATTCAAACATTGCAATGTCTTCACGACCTTAAAGGGACCAACTCTACTGATGCGGAATCTTCAGTACATTCTTACATTCCAAACCAGTCCCATGTGTCCCAACCCGTCCCATTTTTTGCGAAATTGTTGAAAGTTTAAAAATCTTTCAATAATGAAAAGAATTTCTACCGTAAACAAATATGATTGCTGTTCTAATTGCCTTTCGAGGACACATAATGTCAGCAATTGTAAAGTTATTAGTAATTGTTTTATTTGCAATAATCGGCACCATTCTATGCTTCATATTCAGCATACAGAAATGCCTTCTACTGAACGGAATTCAGATGCGGTTCTACGAACCACTAACTCGCCACAAAACTATCCAACGAATACGTCGAATAATATTACGTCAAACCGTCAAGTATTTCATACTCGATATAATCAGTCCATAGTCTTAGGGACAGCGACTGTTAATATAAAACATAATAGCAATAAGTATAAGTATCAAGCATCCGGGTTCGGAATGCTCGTTTATTACTGAGCGATTACGACAAAGTTTTAACCATAGAAAAATAAATAGAACTGAGACTGAGAATAAGAAATATTACTCTCTCACATGTACAGATTCTGTGTGAATTTAATGCAATTGTATGAGTATTTTTATTTTTGTTTACATAAAATAACAAAAATATGAAAGTACAAAATGTATCCGAATACATCATACCCTACCACATTGCGAGTAAGTAGCAATAATTTATTTAGTATTTTTTAATGTACAAGTTATATTCAAGAGATTGATGTTTGCTTAATTAATGAATGTACTACTCATTATAACAATAT